TCTTCAGTGTTTGTAGTATCACTACAACTTAAGATATTCTTCAGAGCAAGATCCACTTCGCCCACCTTTTAAAACTAGGTAAGTCTGATTAATTACTTTGTATCTCCAAAATCCTTTGCTCTCAAAATTTGTTTGTCAGAAAGCCCTTTCTGAAATTGTTACTTTAAAAAAAAAATAATCCTTTTATCATAGTTGGCTTTATTTAGCGGAGGTTAGGAAAATTTACTCCTGTGTATTTGTTGCTGGGTTTCTGAATTTTTTTTCTGTGTGGTATTGTTTATCAAAGTGTGGAGGAAAAATTATCTTCTCTATAGGAAAGAGCATGACTGTTCAAGATTCTTCTTTTGTAGAAATTACTTCCTTGCGGTAGTAGTACGTACTTCCCAGTATTTCTTACCGTGAAGAGAACTTCCAAAGCACAATTTGTTGTCATCTTTCTGAAGGCCCTGTTGGAAGAGTGATTCTGACTCTTGGCTCTGGTGGTTTGGAAAGGTACCATCTGGTCTGAGGTTTTAATCCTTGGAGCAGTGTTGGCAGAACAGAAGGTGTATTCACACCTTGGCCACATTTGTTCATTTGGAACTAAACTGTGCTAGCAGCTTAAATAAGCTGTTGGACTTTGTGCAAAAGTAGCTGAGGTGCATTATGTTTGCTGACTTTCCTGTCCCTGAGTGTCAGCCCCTCTCTGTTGGTTACTGCCCTCCCAGGAACTTTGAACTGATAAAGCAAATGCTAAACCTCTTTCATCAGTGTTCTGAGACAGCATTCAGCTCCACCATTGGCTGCTGCTAACTTCAGGGAATAAACTTAACATGATTGTAGACTGTACAGCTGTCTATATGTTCCAGCTAATGCAATCAAGAATAAATTCTTACTTTTAGCTTTTCATCAGAAAGGATGATCAAAAAAATGAGACTTATTTATGAGTTTAGTAGTAGGGGTCTGTTCTTAGGTTTTGTACATGTCTAATAGGTGACACTGTCATTTGTTCCTTACCTTTTGTAGGAAAAAGAGGAGTTCAAGTGTATAACTCAGTAATGAATAAAAAAGGAGTAAGTCCTCAATAGGACAAAAGCTTACGACAAAAGGGAAATGACATAACCATCTACTGACTGGAGGTGACTGGAAAGTCCAGAATGCACATGTCTCTTCTTGTTAGCAAAGAATAAAAAAAATCTTTCAGATATTCCACTCCTTCCCTTCCCCAGATTACCTTAATGCATGATTCTTTCAGAGAGGTTTTTATTCTTTTTACTGCTTTTCCTCAAAAGTGCTTAGCTGAAGTATTAGATCACATGCATTTATAACGTAAAAATAGAATTTTTTTCCCTTGAAGTAGTTCACTACTTAAGATGGTATCAATCTCAATAATCTTCATGAGACTCCTAGTTATATTTTTAAACTCTGACATGAACTTTGCTCAAGTTGTTTAATTTGAAAAATTTCTTGGTCATGATTTTCGGTACATAGTTTGTCTCTGGCATTAAAAACTATTTTTGATCAAAGACTGATCATAAAATATTGTGTATAAAGCTTTTGCTTTCTAAATAGCATGTGACTATGAAATGAACAGTCTGTTTATTCTGAGATTTTAATTTTTAGTACACACATTTTCCATGAATGATCTAGAGCACTGCTATTAATTTGTCATATAGCAAGTTCTGTAGCATGGACATGAAGAGGTTGTCTTGGCAGAAGACCTAAGTGGTTTGTAGACTTGTTCTTGTAACTGTACTTGTGTGAGCTACAGAGTGTGGAACTGCATTCTTCTGGTTGAGGCATTTGCTTCCTGAACGTCTGACCTGTTTGTGTTCGTGTTTTACTACTAAACTGAAACTAATGTGCCTTTGTTTTGACTGAAATGGGATAGAGAGCATTCACATGAATAATACTCATGGCAGGTTGGAGTAGGCTATAATGAAAGGCTGGAATTAGGGGTTCTGGGGTGGTAATTTATTCAGCTAATGTAGTCATGTGTGGAAAAAGGTATGTGTCTGCACTGGATGTGGTGGTTTAAGCTGATTGTAAAGACAAGCTTGGAGTAGACTCCTAAGGACATTAAAGGCCTTGCAACTCAAATGTAATTGCAAGAATGTATATGGTGTGCTTTTAAGTATCTGATCTGAATGAGAAGCTCCTTGTGGTCATCTCACGTTTATAATATTTTCTTCATCTTTCTGATTAAAATTTAGGAAGTAGGAATTCTCTTAAGCTGCCTTTATCCACATAGGGCAAGAACAAATATTTTGTACATCAGTATGCTTCTCTAGTTGCATTATCATAATTTTCTCTGGCTTTGCAAATGTTACATTTTCCCTGGTTTTATTATTAAAATATTGCTACAAAAACTTTTCATAGTTCACAGCGTGCCTGTAAGTTCTTACTTTGCTGCAGAAAGAAGAACTGGTGATACGCTAATGTTAGCAGCTTGCATTTGTCTTTTGACAATTCATGTAGTAGAACCATCTTATATTGGAGTCCCTGTGTTACTCTCCCATAAGCAATCAGAAAATTAACTTAAATAGACTAAACCACAAAAAGTTGTCAAACTAGCATATCTTGTGATGTCTCCTTTCTGCAAATGTGCTAGAAGTAGTGGTGAGGCTTCGGCTTTGTCATCTTCAGGAAGTCCAGCAATAGTAGGTATGGAGTGGGAGGGAGAGAGGCTTCTGGTAGCCTAGATCTTTGCTCCTGATGAGGCCAGTAGGACTGACAGTCATCCTCTGCTCTTTTCTCCAGTGATGGTGTAACTGCAGAGCTAATGGTTGTTCAGGATATGCTGTATTTGGGGAACATAATTTTATGTCCTTTCATTGCCTCCTAAGAGTTCTGTAATAGTGGACCTTCACTTTCATATTGTGGATTTACTTTGAAATTAATATTCACTTTGAGCTAGACTTGCTGTTTATTGCAAATAATATACAAGCTCTTCAGCAACATTTTTACAACATGACATTTGTTAAAAAAATACATGGACTTAATAAACTGTTTATAACATACTTAAAATCTTGTGTATTAAAACTTTGTCTTTCTTTTGCCAGAAAGATCTTTAAAGCAAAGATGCTTTAAAACGCTGAAACAAAACTTACTTCAATGGTGAATCCATTACTTAGGCTTGGGTGGAGCTCAGATTATGTCATCTGTCTGAAAAATATTCATGCTTGTGAGTTCATGCTTGGTCTGGAGATATGAAAGACAACAGAGCACTAAACTGCCAATCCATATTTGTAATCACTCTCTGAATATTATAGCTGCTGTTTAGTGTCTTTTTTATAAGGTGAATCTTCTAACAAGTTTTTATGTTATATACACGTCAGTTACCTGAAGAACTTGAGTTCTTTAGTTATTCTGAGATTTCTACATATAATACCCTTGCTGGGTTGCTGAGTAAAATTGTGGCTAGGTTAGGGAGCGGGAAAATATTTTTGTAGAATTGCATGTATAAATGGTTATGACAAGCCAAGTATTTGAAAGAGTAAAAAAGCATGTTGACTGTAGTTTCAAAAGTGACACAAAATATTTTTGTATTGAAAGTAGTCTAGTTCCCATACTTGGTTTTTGGTCCGAAGTTGCTAAACCTCCTCTTGTGGCTAGCATGTTAAGTAATGCCTGTCCAGAATGGCGGAGAACATGCATGTCTTTTTTTAAGTGCTGTTTTTGTGGTTCCCTGTAGCCGGGCCTAAATTTGCATTCTTTTCTTGATCACTTGGTATTTTGGAACTGTAACTGACATGCAAGCGTGGCATAGTTCTGCACCTTGCTACTGCTGTGAAAAGCAATGTGAAGCTAAACCTGTCCTTGTTCACCAGTCACAACAGACGTTTGGTTGAGCTACCCCTCTTTGGGCACTCTCCAGCCTTGCAAAGGTGACAGTAGCGGTTTGTTTCCCCCTGTGCTATATGTGACTCTTCTGAACTCTGAGTCTTAAGCACAATAAATCCCGGCACTCAGCCAGAGTAGTATTTTTTGGGAAATGGAAATAGACCATATCAGGGAAGTGCATGCTATTTATAAAGTCTATCTGAAAGTATATTTTTTTCTCTTTTTTAACACAGAAAATATAAAAACATAGATCCATTTAAAATATAAAAAAGTCTAATACACAGTGTTCTTCATTCTAGCTCTTCATTCCCTAAGGAATCAGGGAAGACATTCTGAATTAACATAGGTGATACTGTCCTTATTTGGTGGATACCTGCAGTAGCTGTCCTCATTCTGAAGTGCTAGGAATGGTTTTGGTTCTGTATTTTTATATGAACTTGTAATGTATAGGCTGACCATTATTTTGTCCATGCTTTTGTTTTTAGATTTATTTTTTGCTGTGCAGACAAGGGAAAAATTGTTCTTGGTTTCCATAATATTTATAGTTTTGTTGTTTTGTTTTTTTAAGTGGCATGGTTAATTTTAACTCTGTTGCGGGTAGTTTCAGAGAAATTTTCTGAGAAGGATGTGATTGTGGTTTAGTATCACCTTTGACCTCATCGCCTATAGATATAAAGAACAATAAAATAACTCTAACATAATCAATTGCTAAATATGTTTTCATGTGGAGAGCACACACTTTGATATGCAGTTTTTGGAACATTAGTCTTCAGGTAATCTGTATCTTCACACAACCTGTGTGACACTGGGTAAGAAATATACCTGTATGAGGGAGAACAAAGGGCAGGAATTAGGGAGGTAGAAGGAGCAGGCTATGAAAGATTAAAAACAGGGGAAGTAGAAGCTCTGAGGTGAACTTCCTCATGTGTTACCTATACACATAGATAATAGCCACTGCTCTTAAATCATAGGATTTTTAAACACACCCCCTAAAAACCATAGTTGCTATTTAAAAAAAGATTCCTTATAGCAATGAAATCAGAGTTTGAGGAATATAGTCTCATATATAACTTTTAAGTATTATATTATTCCACAATAACTTCCTATTACACCTATTAACATATTGTTTACAGCTTCAAAACTAATTATTTAATATTTTTCCTTCTTCGTTAGGTTCTTGTGGCAGAAGGAGAATACTGACCTGAGATGGAAGTCAAAACATCATTTAACAAAGCCAGTAGGATTCCTGAAACTGTATCCACATTAATTAATGAAGAATTTGTCCTGGTTCATCAGCAATCTGAGGACACCTCTGTAAAAGATGAAAAACCTCAGCTAAAGGTTTACTATTACTTTATTTTAAATGTGTAGTAAGATTTATATTGATCAACAGATTGCAACTTCTTTTGAATATTTAATTAATGATACTTGTGTGTGCTTGAGGAGACTCTTAGACTGTAATTTTTGTCCTTGCTTATTACCAGTGAAATTAACAGCTCGGATTAAGCAAATCTGTGCAAAAGTGGCAGTTCAGTTTTTCTTTTAATAGCTTCTTTGGGGGTCAGTTTTGTTAGTATTCTGTGGATTTATACATTAGTAAAGGACTAAAAAGTTCTTTTCAAAGAATGAGCTTCAGATTAAAGCTTGGGAAATATTTATTTAAGGATCAGAGACTCTGAATGTTGTTATCTTAAAGGCATGTAATTAGGCTGCATAGGAATAGACCACAGAGGGTCTTGGTTTTTAGTTTTTAATTTAGTTTTCCTGTTTAGTGCTACTTTAGGCACGACTAAGACCTTTTCTAAAAGCTTTCTACCTCGCAATAGCAGAATATTTTAGCATTTAGGTGACAGCTGATCGGTTAATTACAAATTTCCCCACTAGCTGATTTACTGGTTTTGGTGCACTTGGAACAATAGGAATTTGTTTCCCTTGAAATGACAATAAGTACTTAGTCTGTCTTTGCATAACTGTTTGGCAGTTATTTACAACCGATGATTTCTGTCTGTATTAAACACTAGCTGCTTCTTTAGTAATTATGTCTGGAAAGAGGCAGGTGAACTGGAGGCAGAATCCATGATGCAACTTTATTATTGGCCATGGTGGTTTTGTTTTTTTGTTTTTTTTTTTGGTCTGAAAAGCTAGTGCTTCTGAAAGGTTGTATTTGTTTTTTTCTAGAGAATGTGTCTCATCATTTTCTTGCCATTTCCTTAGACTTGCACCCTTCCTATGTGTGGGACAATGGGTGAAACAACTGAAATGGATTGGATATGACTAAGAAAATAAAATTTTCTTTAAGACTAATCTGTAACAAAGTCTGTTGATCTTTGTTCTGAGTGGAGGATCTAAACACACAAAGATGTTACTTCGAGAGGTCTGTAGTTTTTAGGTGGATGATTGTCAGATTAGCAGTGAGAATATGTGCATTATATGTAATGGGATGGGACATTGGATTATATTTGATGTAGTTTTGTTGTTCATAGCGTGTTGTCTCGTTCAGCAAAGTTTCTTAACTTTTGCAATGAGTAAGACTGTATGTTTGAAAAATAATAGTGAAAGTAAAACTCCAAGTACCTTTAAAAAATGTCATCTCCTTCTACTTACAGGTATTTTCAAATGGAGATGATCAGCTGGAGAAGGCAATGGAAGAGATACTGAGGGATTCTGAAAAAGACCAGAGCAATTTCACTGCTTACAGTGATGCAAGCAGCCAGGCAGCTGGAGATGGGTCAGCAGATCAAACAAATCAGCCATCTTTGCACCTTGTTTTAGACCCTTCTACTACAGGTATTGCTAAAGTGCTTCCCCCCTCAATCATATATGACAGTTGTTTTCTTTATGCAGTTGCAAGTTAACCTTAAAATGAATATAAAGCTTTCTGGAGCTTCATTCCGAAACTATACTGGAGAATACCCTGGGGCCTCCTCTCCTTTTCTGATTAGTTGAGAATTATAGACAGGAATAGATTATCATCAGATTGGTACCCTGTGCTGCTCTGTTTTGGTCAAGATAATTTTCATTTTGTCTCCAGCCCTAGATGAGTTAGAACTAGGTATCGTGTAACTTGCAGAATGGGCAATAGTTGAGGTAGAGATGCTACTGATGGAGTATGAGAAGTTTCAGGGCAGTGTTCCTTGACAGTACTACGTACAAATGAAATATACCCTGAGCAAACTGATAAACTTTTCAGCTCTGGTTCTATTACCAGCTATCAGTAAGGACAGTTTTAGATTTGATATTTGCTAGGAATGATGGTGGTACTTTTCTGGTATTTGAAGTTTTGGTGAAAAAGGGAGGGCTGAAAGCTTTTTATGTAAACTATATTGTATATATTTTATGTAAAATATATTGTAGCTTTTTTTTTTAAATACATGTTAGAAATACAAGGCTGTGGCCATATCTGTGGGCCTTGAATTAGAATTCCTTTTCTCTCAGTAACATGCAGAGCACTTCTGTGGCATTATATCAGGTAATTCCCATAGCATCTGTTTGGGAAGTAAAAAAAAAAAAAGTTTTTGTGGTAGAATAAGATAGACAGTTTGCGCATAATGGAAACACCCTTCTCTTAATTACAGGTATGCTGTGTTTTTGCGAAACTTACCTTATTGGCTCCCTGTTTGACTTGCTTCAAACAGAACAAAATCCTTAGCATGAATGAACAAAGAAATACTGGTAGATA